ATATATATATATATATATATATATATTATAATAATTAATATATCATATTAATATATCATATATATATATACGATTATTATATGAAACTCATACGATTATTAATTTTCGATATAATTTAAATGTTTGCCCATTTAACATTAACAACTAAAACTAACTGAACTTCTGCTCAGAAATGTAAACCTCAGATTTTTGTCAAATTTTGCACACTTGTAGTAGTCCATGAAAAAATATATTGTGCGTTCGAATTAGGAGTATATTATGGCCAGCCATTTGGGAAAAAATGCGAATTGAAATTTCACATAGACATGTATTTCTTTAGCTGTAGTAGTGTAGTAGTTTACCATAGTGGTGATGTGTTGTGTCTCACAAGTAGCTGATACCTATATCTTTTCTAATATTGATATAGGATTTAATTTGTTTATCTTTTCGAAGATATATTTCCCTGTTGTTCTTTTTTTTTCTTTTTTTAAAATATGAACTAAGTCTGCTTCCCTCTGGAAGATTTAAAATGTCCGTATACGTGTTTCTGTACGACAAATATCATCCTGACAATGACAAAAAAAAACGGTGTTGGCACGCTAAAAGATTTATTTACCTTATTTATTATAAATATACAAATATCTTCGAAAAAGTAAACAAACAAGATCCTATGTCAATATTGGAAGAAATATAGTAACTTGTGAGACACATACATCGCCGCTATGGTAAACTACTACAGCTAAAGAAATACGTGTCTATGTGAAATTTCAACTTTTTTTTCGTAAATGGCTGACCATATACGCCTAATTCAAACGCATAATGTATTTTTTTCTGGACTACTACAAGTGTACAAAATTTGACAAAAATCTGAAGTTTACACTTCTGATGATAAGTATATTTTTAAAATACAATCATGATCGTATAGGTAAAAGATGAAATACGAATTGCAAAGAAAAAAAAATAAACTAATGTTGGGGATGACATTGAGACAATCGGAAAGTAGTATTAACAGGACTGTTACATTGGAATAAACTTAAATGAATGTAATTTTAACGGAAACCTTAAGATTAATATGACACAAGTTTGATACCTTGTTTAAGGCAATCCTGTTAAGATATTAATTGTTCTTTTTTACCATGATCAAGGACAGATGGTTATATCTTGTAAAAAGTGAAAGTTAATTTCTGTTAAATTAATTGCTGGTACTTACGTATTAATGCCACCGCAGCAAAATTCCGCTAATGCGCCAATCTACACCTTAAATTGTTGCGACAAATCATAGAATAAAAATCTTTATTAAAAATCAAAACACTTTCAAAATTCAAAACATTTTATTTCTAAAAAGTAGTCAATCGGATTTCGGTGGAAAATGGGCCGATATAGAATTTAACATAGATTCAAAACAGTCTCTATTTTCTTTCACCTGATGCTGTCGCCATAACCCTGACGAAACCCTGACGGTTGCTGTGTGCAAACAACAAGGTTGTTGTGTGCAAACTACAAGGTTGTTGTGTGCGAACAACAAGATTGCTCTTTATTGGCGAATTAACGGAATTTTTGCTGCGGTGGTGTTAATACGTAAGTATCTAATTGCCTTTTAAAAATAAATATGAATCATAAATGGATTTTAACACTAGATATACCAGACCAGTCATTTTGACTGGTCGGGTCATTTTAATTCGAAATTTCTACTTCATGTAACAGTGGAGTTCTCTAAATAATTAAGCGTTTTGTTATTTAAAAATGTCTATAAATCCATTTATCTATTAAAATTATTATTGTTAAACATGTTTTTTTTTTTTTAAGAGTAAATAAAGACTGGAAGCCTAAAAAGCATTTTTTTTTATACACCAATCATTTTGACTAGTGTGGTAGAAATAGGTATATTGAAAATGGTGGTATATCTAGTGTTAAAAGATTGTTAAACCTAATCAATAAGTATATTACAACATTCTTTAGTTATATGTAATAGTGAGAATATTTAATTAAGGAAATTTCTAGAACATAATTGCCATTAAGTAATATGTTATTCTAGTTTTAAATATGTAACGATATTTTCATTTGCTAAGAATAAATATGAGAAAAAAGAATAAAGAAAAAATGTATATGAAGGACATAATACATTTTGTTTATTTATTTACCTATCTAATAGTCTCATAAGGTTGATTAATCATTTAAGTTATAAATAATAATTATTTTTTTACATGTTTGAAAAAAAAGAAAAAAAAATTGAATACTAATTATAATATTTTAACTTATTAATAACACGAACGAAAAAAAAAATATATATGTGAAGGATATCGTTCAACACACACGTTTATGTACACTTTTTTCTGTGTCTCTATCTTACGTGAGATTTAATGTTTGATTAATAATTAACGCATTTCGCGTGTAAAGTTACGCGTGACATAAAAGTTAATAAATGTCTTATTAAATTTCGACAAAGAAAAAGAAAAAAAAAGAACGAAAAAAAGAAAAATGATTATTAATTTATCGTATACATCAATGAAGTAATTAAAGAAAAATTTTTTTTTCTAAATGTAAGATAAATTTATTAATATCACTCATGCGTGTTTATGAGTGTGATCCTCTATTATATTATTCGTATATTTTTATTTTATAAATAATATAATAATATATAAAATTTTATAATAATATAATAATAATAATAACTGTGCAATAATTTTATGCGTTTTTTTTTTCCTTTCGATGAAACTTCACAATCTAAATTAGATTGGAAATCGAACTACGCACAATTTTCTAAACGCAAAATATTTCTAAGTAATTCCTCTCTTTTCTCTTTCTCTCTTCAAGTGATTTTTTCGATAAATTCAAAATAAGAGAGTTCTGTTATCGTTCTAAGATAATCTAAATCCATCTGAAAGTTTACGTTAACGTGATTTCCGTGCTTTTGTCTGGAAAATCAACGATGAGTGAAAAGAGAAACCGTGAAAGAGTAGAAAAGCTCAACCGAAAGTAACTTACTCGACTATAATCGAGGATTTAAATAATAAGTATGAAAATTTATGTACAATGACTCAAATTTTATCACAAGGTTAACGAAAATTTATTTTTAAACAATTTTCTATCACTGTAAACCAAATTTTTTTTATCGCATCTACAGAAAAAGAAATAGTTAGAATTGGCCAATTAATGAAAAAATGATCTAATTAATCTTTTAAATAAATTCTATAAATAAATTATTTTCATCTTCCTTTGCAAATTCTTCCAACTTGACTAATACGACGTCGTATCAGTACGTTCATTATTTTATCTTATTTTTAACGAGCCGATAGATTAAAATTAATTAACTTGATTTTTTTTTCGATATATTAACTACAAAAAATCATTTTAGAAAAATCCAAATAGAAATTTATAGTGGTTGTAGGACCAGTCGAGTCACATTTACGAAAGAACAGAGTTCACATTTTTTCTACTAATGTTAAAACTAGTATAACTGTTACTACTATGAAAGTAATGATTAGATAATATATTTCTAAATTTCTTAATTTCCACATGATTAGCTTTGCCGTTTTTAATGATCATAATAAACTTTTTCTCAATTCTACAAATGAATATTTTTTTTTTTTACGAAGGATATCTCAAAATAAATCGAAAATATTTCTAATTGAAGTTCATTGATTTCTTTTACTGTTTTTGCATATAACTTAAAAAAAATTCTATTTCATAATAACAAAAATAGTATTCTATAAAAATAATATGCTAATAAATATTAATAAAAATGAATATAGATAAAAATAAGTAGAAAATATCGTAGATTTGAATAAATTAATTTACATATAAGAAAAATATTTGCTAAAAATATCAATATGTTATATGTTAATACGAGATTGTATTTTATCTTATCGTATTTTTTTAGCAACTATTTAAAAACAACTTTATAGAACAGATTATTTTCCCCGGAACTATTTGAAATACAAGGAAGGCTAGTAGTTGTCTGCTATGACTTCGAGCCGTGCATCTTTATTATAATTGTTTTATTCTTGCTCAATCGAATTCGTTATTCAACGTTACATTGCGTGATTGTAATTTAAAGTTACATTAAATGATTCTTTGTTGGGAGAAAAAATAAGAAAGTAGCTCTACGAGAAATAAGCATGACACATATATTAATTAATTCCTTTTCCTTTCCTTAATAAAATCCTTCGAGATACTTAAATAAACAATAAATAAAAGTAGAAAACATGAATTTGAACATAATTATAGATAGGAATTTTGAAAAACCAATCAAATTATTATGCAAAATTATTCATAATATATAAAGATTACAAACCATGCGCATGATACATGAAACCATTCGAATGAGAAAGATAATTTATTGCAGTTAATAGATACGTATACTTACTACACTCCTTTGATATATATATATATTAGTAATATATAATATGTAATATATAATTAGTTATATATATATATGTAATGACGTAGATGAGAAATTACGAAATATAACAACACCAAATAGTTTATTTGGCAAGACTACTTTTCATATCCGTTAAGATATTTAAGCATTGAATAAAATTTCTTTAAATTCTTGTACATATATAGTCAACCCTCCTATAACGCGGTGAGTGCGTACCGCGTTATATGGAAACCGCGCTATAAGAAACTCGGATTTAACCGTACAAACCAGGCTAATTCGTAGCGCGTTCTATGGAAACCGTCTACCGCGTTGTATGGAAACCACGCTATAAGAAACGCAGAATTAGTACAAATCACATCATTCGTACCGCGTTATATGGAGACCAATAGGGATAAGATAAATTATAAATTATTTTTATTGAATTGAAGAGTTTATATAAAGAAATGATACCAAAACTAAACTAAAAAACTGTTTTCCAACAAAAACAAGAAAGACTTTTGTAAAATTTAATAGATTCATTCAACTTGGTTGATTTTGCAACCGACGATAGTTTTTCCCCGCCTTCTAAACGATTTAGAATTTCGATTTTATCTTCAAGAGATATAAACTTTCTTTTTAAYCCTTTCCTTGTTTCTTTCGTGTTTGACATGATGCAAATCTAGGGTTAATAATTACTTTATTATTATTATATTAGAACAAATGAAGAATATTACTTACTGTATTGTAATATAATATATATATATAAGAGGGCTGTCGCATTTTCAGCTCCGCGTTATATGGAAACCGCCTTCTGAAAGTACCGCGTTATAGGAGGGCTGTCGCATTTTCAGCTCCGCGTTANGTTATATGGAAACCGCCTTCTGAAAGTACCGCGTTATAGGAGGGCTGTCGCATTTTCAGCTCCGCGTTATATGGAAACCGCGTTCTGAGAGTACCGCGGTGTAGGAGGGTTGACTGTATATATATATAATAAAAGATATTCAGAGACAAAAATCAGTACACATGAAAGTTTGATGATGAATATCTTTTGAACGCTTAATTTAATCGCCAAAACATAAGACACGATTTTTATAGAGCAGTTAATTTCCTACAAAAATTTGTATTGCGCATTTCATAATAGTCATTTATTGTTGAGTTATAAAATACATAAACAAAAATGAAATTTGTCTAAAAATCATCAAATTTAAATCTTTAATATCATTCAAATGGTGAGGTTTATGAAAAAAATATAAGATACCTTTTTTGTAGAGCATTAAATTTCCTACAAAATTCGTCTAGAACATTTTTCTGTACAATCAATAAATGATGAGATATGAATTGTTATCTATTGGACTGAAAAAAAAATAAAAAACTGTGATGCGGAGGAAATTCCTATTAAAATTAAGAGCTCATATTTGGTGAGAATTGTTTTAAGGTGTCTAGCAACCCATTTTTCCGTGGCACTTGAAAAAAAAAAAAGTAATTTTTTTGACCCACCCTAATATATATATGACATATATATTCATAAATATATATACATGAGAATGGATTGAAAAGTTTTGAGCCTAACATAAGAAAATTGTTTTTAATCAAACTGATTTTTATATAAAAAATATAAGTATTTTTGCTATTATTATTGAACCAACCCTCGTATTTGCAGGAAGTCGCAGTTTCTTTTCAGCAAAATTTTAGCATATACTATAAGTAAAAATAAGAAAAAATGTTATATAAACACGAGTTCTTACAAATTTTATAACAAAGTTATAACAAAAATTCAAAATTGTAACGATTTTGTATTTTATCGAAGAGGCATAAGAATCCATTATCAATATCTATTTGAATATACAACGATAACACATTTTATTGAAGGATAAATAGTAATAAAAAATACTTTTAAAAAAACTGATAAAAAGAATTGTCCAATAAAGTTTTTTCAAAAGATCCTGGAAAATGAATTACAGCTAAAATTAATCAAAGATATTTCATTATTATTTTGACAATATTTATAGATCTAATTAAATTGTTATCCTATACACTAATGGATGATTACTTGTTGGAAATAGTGAAATAAGATTTTTATTAGAGATAAGTTATTATGTATCAGGAATTAATGCAAACGACTTATGATGCATTTGTTATAATTATTGAAAATGAGAAAAAATTAATAACACAATAAACTCTGTTCTCTATAAATATCAGAGTTGCATTTATAATGGGCAATATTTTTCAATGCAATTATAATTTGAATCAACAATTTATTCAAATAGGTATCGAACAAAAGAACATTTCTTTATAACTTTTTAACAAAAGTTTTATAGCATGTATATATAACATTTTTTTTATTTTTACTTATGTAATATGTTTTGCTAGAAATATATTTTATTATCAGTTAGTACTTATTGAACTTATCCAGTCGGCATGAACATTATGAATATGTTTAAAGAAGTTAAATGTTAGAAGTAAAAGTAAAGAAAAAACCTAACTAAAATGTATATGCAAAGAAAACTAATTAAATTTCAATACAAAATTTAGTACTTGTATAACTCAAACGGATATTTTCATAGTACATTACGTCAATGTCCCAAAAAATGGGACGGGCTGTAATTTTTAATAAAAATATTTACAACAAATTTTTAATCACTTGACATACAATAACATCTCGGAGACGACATTTATTTCATGTGCCATTGTAGACTTTGTCATTTTCAAAACGTCAAAAACTGTTTTCGGCTGTTTCTACTTTATGAAGTATCACACGTTACAAAATTATTAATTTATTATTTTATAGTATTACTTAATTTATTATCAACCTTATTGAATTTTATAAAGCAATGTAAATGTCAAAATAAACTGCCGCGTATTTTATTTGTATGTCAAATGGTTAATAAAATTTAATAAAAAAAAATTGTTATAAAAATAGTTCTAGTTGGTTAGTACGAATATCATTATACAGTTAATTTAATTTTTCTTCCCTCCGGGCGAAAAGCGTCAACTTTTCTCCCGCTGTTAAAAACGAAGTTGCCGCTTTGCGCCTACGTCGAGCAGAAAAAATGTATACTCACCATGGGCAGTAAATAAGAAAGCCTCAGAGTACATGTAATTGTTGGCCGAGGCGAAGCCGAGGCCAACAATTACATGTACTCTGAGACATTTCTTACTTTACCTCCCTAGGTGAGTAATATACTATTTTCAATTGTTCCAGCTTTTTAAATGAGCACACGACACGAACATTTTTTAAACATAACCTCAGATAAAATTAGTAATGTTATCATGTCGAGAAAACTTACCGTTCGTTCGTTTCAAAAGTATATCAGTCGGTTAATAGATCAAATTAACAATATTATTAAAAAATATTGGTGAAACTATTTCTTTATGCTTTTTTTTTAAGTACCCACGTACTTAATCATTACTATAATTAGTCTTCCTTGTTCAAACATCCAGAACGTTCAACTAAAGACCAACTAGTATAACCAGTTCAAATGCTCACAAATAGAAAAACAAATGCATCTAATGTAGAATATTCTGCACTTGGTGATAGCAGCAAGTCTTTGCTTGTGGACATATCCGCGCTCGGTGATAATGGATAATCGCAGCTCGAGGATATATCCGTGCTTGGATGAAAATAGGTTAACACTATGCCGCCAAGTACAAATGTTGAAGTTTGTAAAAATTAAATCGTAATATTAAAAAATATAGAGGTACATAGAAACTCACAAGTCGTTTGTCTTTCTCTCGTACTAATTTACATAAACTGTCCGTCTCAAATGTTAAAAATCTTCAAACGTGTTTATATTTTTTATCATCACGTAATATTACTTACATAACAAATATAACTTGCATTTAATGCACAAGAATATTTGTTCTATAAATTATTATACGATAAATATATAATTGAACGATTATATATTTTGAGGAAAATATAAAAATATAAATATTAAATAAATTAAATTAAAATATTCTTATGCTCACAATTGTTGTACTCATTTTTTTACCGTGTAGTGGTAAGCTCGACGACATACCATAAATTAGTTGACAGATGACGTCCAGAGAGTTAGATGGCGCAGCGATCAACCATAGTTGATTACTAACATCTCATTGGTTGACAATTACACCAATAAGACAAAGACGGTTGGACAAGCGCACGTTGCCCGGCAAAGTACGAATAATCCAAAAGAGGATTTGTAAAGTTTGCAGCCCTTTCAAAAGTCTACAACAAATATTACGCCGGCATCATTAATCTAACCTTACTTTCGAAACATCATAATAATGATTTTGTTCTGATATATTGATTTTTTTCTTTTAAACAATAAGTATTAATTAATAATAAAATAAATAAACAATATAATATTAATTTTGGTACATTTGATATTTTTATTATATATAAAAATGGTAAGTTAGTGCTTTAATAAATAAAAATATAAATATATATTAATATTTACATATACATATAAATTATATTTTATATTCTAGTTGTTCTACTCATTTTTTAAATCCTTGATTGGTAAAGATGTAGTTGTGGAATTAAAAAATGATCTGAGGTAATATTTATTTCAATTTATTTTTTCTAATCTAACAATAACAAAATATAATGTTACTACTACATACATTTGCAGCATTTGTGGAACTTTACATTCTGTTGACCAATATCTAAATATTAAATTAACTGATATAAGTGTAACAGATCCAGATAAATATCCTCATATGGTGCGTAACATTAATTAATGATATTTCATTTCAATTGTTCCTTAATTAATTGCATTGATGAATTAAATTTCAGCTGTCAGTAAAAAACTGTTTTATTCGTGGATCAGTAGTAAGATATGTACAACTACCTGGCGATGAAGTTGATACACAACTATTACAGGATGCAGCTCGTAAAGAAGCAGCCGTACAAACAAGATGATTTCAAACGAAATATACTGTTATTTTATTAATATATTTTTTACAAACTACATCAAAGATATCAATTAATTTAATTGTCTAAATATATGATTATCACATATATGTTAGTTTTCTTTGCCATGCATTACCTTTTTATGTATAATAGCAGATATAAAAGATATACTTAAAAATGTTATTTTTGTAATTATAAATTTATTCAAATAGGAATGTAATTAGTGTGTTAACATTGTTTTTCATCTTTATAACCCTCCTTTATATGGGTTTGAGGGACAAGTAATAATTGTGCCTATCGTTGTTTGACTTAAATGATCGAATAAGAACTAATTTTTTCAACAAGATAGTTCTGTTAACTATTAATCATTTTTTATTTATTAGTTTTTAATAACATAGTAATAATTTTTGTACAAAAATATAGACGTTATATTTGTACAACAGCATACAGTGCAGTGTTTATTTTATCGTTCATATATAGGTCTATTTCCTTCTTATTGAAATGATAATACAATTGTGCAGTTTATATTTTAAGCCTTTTTCCAATCTGCTAGAGTTTTATCGTACCATAGATATTTTCCTTTTATTTCAGTATTATTTGGTAGCAATGCGCAATAAATTGGAGCTTCTGCACCCTGATCAGGTTTAAGCTCTCCTTTATGACTTGTCATATCTGTATCTACGTAACCAGGATGTACAGCATTTACTGCTATGTCTTTACGGGAATCATTATTAAATTTAATCTGGTGTATGCCTGCTAAAGCAGAAACACCTACTTTACTGGCAACATAAGCTGAATTGGACCAACCTTTTTCCAAATGAGTACCCTTTTTTGCTGATCTAGAAGATAAATTAATTGAAAGATATACGAAATTGTATATATATGAAAGCATTATTAAAATGTTATTTTAAAATCAAAAGAAATGATTTATAACTTACTCAACAAATTCATGCATAAGGTTATCTAATTCCTCTTCCGTTAAATTCGGGTTAGATAATTTCTTTTTTAATGATTCACCGGTTAGATTTAATAGACGACCAGCACTACTGGATACGTGTACAACACGACCATGTGGTCTTAGTAATGGATAAAGTTTATCACATACTTTCCTCAAACTAAAGTAATTAACTCTTACAGTTTCTTCTGCTTGATGTCCAAAAGGTTCAGTTGCATTTGTCTGTATTACAAAAATTTATTGTAAGATTTTACTTAAAAGGAAAAAAGATCTAAAAAGAAAAAATATTTAACAATGATTTCCACACCTTGAAAGCAATTGCTGCGTTATTAACCAATACATCCAATCCATTGTGTTCTTTTTGTAAGTAATCGCGAAAATTATTGATACTGTCATCATCGGTAACATCAAGTTGATGGAATTTTGGCTTTAATCCTTCGCTTTCCAATTCTTTAACTGCATTTAAACCGCGTTGTTCGTCGCGTGCAGTTAAATAAACTGTTCCATCAAACTGTTTACAAAGTCCTTTGACAATTGCAAAACCAATACCTTTGTTCCCACCAGTTACCTACACTTATAAATATGTATTATAGCAATTTCTTTAAAATATTAAATATATTAATATTATTGAGTTTTGACACGTACAACGGCAATGCGTTCCATGATGCGTTCTATGATGTTAGAAAGTATAACCTGTCACTAAGTCAATGAATATGGCGTCGTTGTATTAAATTACTCGTGTTAAATACTTAACGAATTGATAATTTCATATAATTACGCAAAGTAGAGAAAATGTACACGCAATAAAAATAAATAATAATTATTAAGTACTTTATTTATCACGTATACCGATAACGATACTTGTCTCAGAGAGTGATTATGGTATTGTGAAGATAAGTAAATGATGTTGCAAAAAAAGAATTTTTTTTTTTCAAAGAATGATACATACGATGATAATGCATTTTGTAGATAAAAATGAAAAATGACTGTTACTAGTTTCAAATATAATATTTACATAAATTTAATACATATTTTATTTTTTATTATTAAAAGACTACTCAAATAATATTTCTAAATGAGCACATCTGTATTTTCTTGTACGGTTATTTCTGACAAGAACAATATTACTTTGTCTGTTGATCATTGATATTACAGATTGTATCGTAACATAACCTATCCCAATTGTTTGGCCTATGGAAAGTGAAAAGTGTCCTTGTGTTACATATCCCATTACTTCTCTGTCGCATGATTTTCTAACTTCTTTACAATCCGGTAAATAAAGTTTAGACATTATTTGAAAATGTTCCAATACAGCTTTACGACTTTTATTCAATAGTTTTTGTCTTAAATTTTTTATTTCAACTACATCGTTCTTTCCTTTGATAATTTCATCAAACGTATTACTTATTTTGTTCTCTAACATTTTTCTATGACGTATTCTTTGTTTTCTATATCGTTTTAACAATAACAAATGATTCTTCCGTAAAATCTTTCGCCTACTTTCATTTGGATCTTTATTTAATTTTTCTGTTGGTCCCGACCAACGTTTATTGTTCTTCAATTGTTGTAAATCTGAATCAGTTGGTTCGCATATTATCGCAAACGTTCTCAGACAGCCTTTATTTACAGTAGATATTCTGACGCGTATTAAACAATTTTCATTATTTAATGCGTCATCTAAATTAATTTTAGAAATAGGAATTTTACGTTTCTTCGATTTAATGGAAGAAAGATTCATTTGTAATTGATTTAACGTTGTTCGGTTTCTTAAAATATAGAAATCTTCTTTTCCTGACCATTCTTTCATTAATATATTCCATTGACAATAAAAAGGACTAGAAATAGCAAACTTTGTAAAATTAACTCGTCTGTTAGATGGATATCGAAAATATTTCTTTTCCAACTTTTCTTTTGTAATAAGAGCTTCTTTTTTATAGGCAGATGTATCGGGTTCATTAATGTCCGGTGAATTTGTATTAAGAGTTTCTAATGCTATTAATTTAGACTCTCTTAATGCTCCGACTCTTGCACAACGAAGAATAAAACCAAGCCAGAATGGCATTGCCCATCTTGATGGGATGATAATGTCAATGCCTGATCCCAAACCTATTAATAAAAGTTCATATTAATGAAAAGTTGAATATTATTAAAATATATTTTTAATGAAACTCTTGAACAAACCTCTGATAAAACCTCCAGGATTCTGAATAACGAGTATAGGAATTTTAGCCATTATATCTTGTTTAAAAAGATTATCATTGCTTACACCAGGAACCAAATTGTTGCTTCTTAATTTGTTGATTAAGCCAGTAGCCACACAGGATTTACTAATTCTCTCACGCAAATTTTGATCCCATATTGGACTATTATTAACATAAGCTGGTGGATTATATATTTTTTCAAAATGTGTCGATAGTTTATCTGTTTTTGTTCTTTTTCCAGGTAAATAAAAACGCGGATCTAGAACAGTCAATCCAAAGACCATATTTGGTGGTAATTGATTAGGTGAGTCTAATGATTGCAATGCTTGCCACAATTGCTCTTGGATTTTGAAAGCTTTACTATTTTCTTGATCATCATAATAATCTTTATACCATGAATCAGTAACCATAAGAGTATCTTTTTTATTTTCTGTAACATCTTCACAATCTTTGTTTGATTCATCATTTGTTGTTGATAAATTTTTATTCATATCAAATAATTTAAGTGAATTTGTTAAAACACTTAGTGCCAATGGACCACATAGTCTAAATCTATTTAAAGTGCCTTTCAATAAATTCATTTGACAATTATTTTCATTGATATAAGAATTTTGTAACTGATTCGATGATGTTGATTCTTCGGTTATGCAAGGATTAAAATTAAAACTGGATATAATTTCAGTCAAAAAGTCATCATAAAAAGCTGGATGAACCCAAATCCAGATAGTTCTTCGATCGCAAAAATTGGGCCTCCATAGAAAGTGTACGTTCCCTATAGGATGTAATGGAAAACTATTTTTTTTGAAAAACGTTACAGTACCTTCTCTCATACCGTTAACGTACATTATAGCAGCAAACGTTAATGTGGTTGGATTGCAATGAGATTTTAAAGTTTCTTTTAAAATATTTTCTGGTCCAATGATTTCTATACAAGAGTAATAAGACAGATCTTGTATCAAACAATGATGGATAATGGATCGAAAATTAGCTTTAAAGCATTTATCATTTGCAAAGTCAGCGATTTTATATCCCCACTGTTCAGTCATATGAAATCGTTTAGCGTGCCAAATATGAGTTTCTAGCCACATTTTATTTCGTTGTCTTCTATTGTATTCCAGAAGTAAATTGGATGGACGTCTACGATATTTACGTGAAGGCCTTTTAGTTTTTGGAGGAAGACCAGATTTACCCATTTGACTTATATGCGCTTCCCGTAGTTTTCTTGGTAATCTCTTCGCATTGTGTGACATAACTCGTCTACGCATATGTATGGGAAGCCTTTGAAAAATTAGTTTTGTTTGTCGAGGATTTTCTACGGATAACAATAAAATGATAAAGTAAAGTACCTTGTTATTTGAAGGTTACCTGTACTATAAAAATTAATAAAATAATCGTTTACCTAGTGTACGAGTCATTGATAAAATTTCACCAGCCCTTGCCTTTGCTAATTTCATAATAGAAACATCAATGGGCAATGATTCTGTTCCACCCAAAAATTCATCAAATTGTTCTTTCTTTTCCATGTTGATAGAATTATAATTTAAGATAAATGATGTATTTGTAATTCTTATTTAAATATTTCTAAAGATTCATTTTTAATTATAAATTTTTTACACATTTAACAATAATTTCTTTAATATAATATTTTCATAATATAACCTCTTCAATAAAATATTGTCAAACGTTTGAAGCCACGCGGACGAATGTGCAGATCTGTTATTTTTCAATTCGCTATTGCGCATAACCTGCAGTGCCACCTACGTTCATCGGTGTGGAACTAAAATCAGTATAAAGTACACAAATTACATGTTTAAATATAATAGAATGTAATTTATAGTTATAGAAAAAAAAATGATTAGAAGAAAAATATATTAATTGTTCGTTTATAATAAATGATTAATCGCCAGGTAAAGTTTAAAATATAATATGTTACACTTTAATAAAATATAATATTAAAAAATCAAAAAAATAAGAACGAAAAACTCGGTCAATGTTATTAAAAAATTAAACAAGAAAAGAAAAAGAAAATGGAGTATGACAGCGGACGTAACAGCAACCAATTAACATTTTATAAGAGATTTACTTTGTAAAACATTAAATGATTAGTTTATTACTTATAAAACTGTCAATAGTCTTTAAGTTCATCGGTCGGTGATGTGTGCTACATCTATTTACTGTCACTCATGCAATTTCAGGAAACAATATAAGAATTTCCGTAGAATTTCTCTTATTGTATTTTGTGCTACATTCCAATTTGTTGTACGATGGATTGTATGCCATAGGAATTATTAATGGCCAATATTTTTGTACTGTCACTTATGTTTATAAATATAATTACAATAACGCTGTTTCTTTAGTTCGAGATATAAGAAGCCTCGCGTAACCATAAGTGTAAACAGTTGGTCGCATCTTTCGTCTTGGGTAAGTTCTTCATCATTTTGATATACAGGGTGTATCCTAAAAGTCGTTTTACCGAAAAAAGAAAAACGAAACGAAACGAATCGATATATATTTATTTATTATTTTAATCATCTGGTTTTTCATTTCAAGATGCGAATGTCTAGTTACGATATAGTTAAAAAAGTATGGGTTCACGATGCCAAATATCTGCTAAAAAAATTTCTAATTTTTTAATTCAGTAAAGCGACATTTGAGATATCCATCAATTATTAAGAAAAGATTAAGTATCTATCTATTCTCAATTAACATAATATTAGTAATTTATTTATTTTCATACAATTATTTTTCAGAATGAATAATATGTGGCCAGACGATGGAATATTCAAAATTGTATTATTAAGTCTAATTACTTGTTATTACGTTGGAGAAACGAAATCTTGTCGATATTGGTGCAGAACGAAAGATCTTCGATATTACTGCTGTAATAATGAGAAAAATGAAATTTGGAAGGAACCAATGTGGCAATCTTTTTTAATACCATGGTTTTGGTTTAATTTTGGAGAATCGTATTGGCCGCATTCAACACATTCATTATGGGAGATGAAGAAGAAAATGATGAAACGTTGTCCACCATTGAGATCGCATTGTTCACGGTCTTATGATTGGTATGATGCGCCCATGCTTTGCGATGAAGATAATGAATGCCAAAGTAAAGAGAAATGTTGTTACGACGTGTGTCTCGAACATAAAACTTGCAAGCCCGCGGAATAGTAGTTGCGCAGATATCAAGGGATACGTGCGCGCACGTTTAACAGGGTAACAGGATGGAAAGAGTAAAACTATATGTGTCTGGTCATCACCATTAATAATTCGACGTTTCTAAAACTCGTTACAGAACATCTAAATGCTTTCTCACTCTTTCTGTTTACTCTCTTTCTCATCATTTACGTAATCAAACAGCGGACTCGTAGAATAATATTTAGTTAACATTGATGTATTCAAAAAGTGACCGTACGAACCAGTTTAAACGACAGAATTTACGTGAGACCAAGAGAACAAGCAACGAAGCAAGCTCGCCGTATGCTAATCACAACGATTCTTAGCAAGTTACATCTCAATTAAGAGCCACACAGTGATCCCGTTAATTAATGAAAATAACTTTTAACAGGATATACTTAGCCATTAAACTGGTCGTAGAGGAATGATCGTATAATTGCTCCTGTCACATTTCTACAATCGTCTCGATTCCAATTTTGTCCTCCTGTTTATTTGGTGTCAAAATTTTAGAGGAAATAATATTTTTCGACTTTCTAGTATATTCTAGTATATACTTTGATAATGAGAAATGTGTTCAAGAAAATAAAGATGAAATTTATTGTTAATGATCCATTTGATAATAATTATAATAACGATTGGAAAAACATGGTTCTGCGCTTACCACGTGACTATCTTTCGTTACTACGGTACGATGGTAATGAGAAAATACGACCAGGTGGATCCCATGAATCCATGAATTGGGTCTTGGCCTACTACCTAAGTATATATATATATATATATATATACCTAAGTATACCTACCTACATCAATCTTGAACTTCGGAGTCCTTTGTAAGGGGTACCTTATTCCGGCACGCGCATAATTGGTCCCGAATTGGCTCGAGCTGATTATTTCATTCCTGTGGACTTAATGGGCGCCAGAGGGCGTTTAAGCGATTCAGATAAGGGCTTGGCGTATATAGCAGATGCATGCTACGCCTGCGTGAGGTAGAATCCGAGTCCTCTTAAATCAAGATTATTAAGTTGTTTGTTTTAAGGCGATTTAAGTCATTATCTTAAGACTCAATGACGCGCAAACAAGATACATACTCGATGTTAATGCATAAATTGTAAGTTTAACCTTTTGATTATTTTTTTTTAACGTTCCTTTAATTGGATGACCAAAAAATTCTTCATAATCAAATGAAGATACTTAGTTTTTTATTTGTATTTTACGATTAATTACCTTGAACATTTTATTCACAATCAATGTCATCTTAATTACTGTACGCATTTTATCAACTGTTTCTTTTGTTCTTAATCTCTTGTTGTAAAGAAAAAGTATGATTACTTTGCAGAAAGATCAAATCAAGCGATAACATTGATGTACCGGTCGAAGAAGTGCAATCACTGTATCCTGCTGCGAGGAAGATTTTGTTTCTTTTCTAAGAAAACACACGATGCTATTTCATTGACAAAACAGTGAGTTGCTAAGTAAAACGAGTTTCTGAGTCCCGTTTGTGGTGTCCTATCTGTCTACGTTAGCTGCATATTAAAGAGGTGCGTTTTTGAAGATTTTTTTAGATGGAACCTTCGGATGGGTGTTTGGAAAAAAGATTCAAAATTCTTTTATTTCGAAAAAGATTGTGGTAAATCCAAATAAGTGTAATTTTATACTTTCACATATTTTTCTTTAATATAATTTCAGAATTGAAAGTACAATTTCTAATTTCAATTATCATGAAAATTTTAGAATATGAATCGAATTAAATAAAAACAAAATATATAATCGATTCGATGTAAGAAAGTTCTTCGAATTAGAGACGTTTCATTTTAAAATCGATCAGTGAATAAACTGAATATATGAGATAAGAACGTCGTCAATGGTCCGTAGAACAAACCTTTTTACGGATTCTACTCCTGTTGTGCATTCACCAGACATGCTGCACTGTGTTAAAGAATAAAAGAATGGGAGTGTGGGACTGGTATTGGAATGGGAATGGAATCTCGTATGTGGCGCATGCGCCGTCGAGTGTTCATTCATTCATTCATTCGATTCATTCATTCTTTCATTCATTCATTCATTTATCGATCTTTACTACACATAATATGTATAATTTCGGAATTATTTATTAACATCAAATCATATTCAAAATTTTCATGGACGAACAAACAACAATGTTTTTTTTTTCAAAAGCGGACTATTAATATTTTTATTTATTATTTCAGAAAGATAATTTATTAGAAAGATTTATTTTCTTGAAGTTGAAACACATCGAAGCTGTCGATACGATTACCAAGTTTCTTATTCAAAATCTTTACGTGTTCGATAATAATGCGTACGTGTGTGTCTGTGTGTGGGGGGATGAAGAGGGTAAAGAAAATACGAAGAGGAAACTTGATGGAGGGTCGAGAATAACTACACTCCTTCCGAGATGCTCGCCTTGGCGGCGACTGATGGTGTCTCGTGTGCGGTAGTTATCCAAGAGTGGGAGTAGTATGATTTGGCTGCTGGAGTTGAATGGTGGGGGAAGAGCGCACCTATACCGGCAGCACGGAACTCGGAAGAACATCGTGCTCAGCGGTATTCGCTTGCGAGCCGGCGTTGGAAGCGGATCGCTATACTGCGTACGCTTGTCTCTACTTTTGCACGCCGCGAATTATTATCATCCCTGTCGTCTGTCATTTTGATTTTGCTTATATAGTTAATATACAAATAACCTGTTAGATCAATTTAGATAGAAAAAAATTCGAATTATTGTTCATTCGAATAATACGTTTGAGTTGATTTTTTATTTTATTTTCCTTTTTCTTTTTTTTTTGTATTTATTGACATGCGTCAAATTTTGAACAATTAAATGATTGTGAAGAAAAGAGAGATCGAGTGGTAAGGAAATCGTAAAGATCAATTTGTACGTGAAATTAATTAAAAAGGATAATAGGAGATATTTTGTATGGAATAAAATAAGAATTAGATAAGTCGTAGATTTCGAGAAAAGGCGAAGAAAACGTTGACCGGTTGACCGGTAGAGCGCGGAACGGTGTACCGGACGGTTCGCGATAAAATTCACGGTGGAAAGTGCTACACGCTCCGATTCACCGTGCGTTATCCGAAGAAACAGGAGGCAGAGTAAGGAAGAAAAGAAGGAAGAGAAAGAAAAAGAGAAAGACAGAGAAAGACTTCACGCTCGTCGAAGAGAGATTAAAAGAACAGAGAACCGAAAATTTCAAAGTTTCTATAGACAATTTGTTAATCGAAATTTCTTGGAAAAACTCGTATTCGATAGAACACCCCACTACGGTATGCTTATCTCATTCGTAGACAGAACCTTTTAAACGACGTTCCAAGTTATACTCATCCTTCAACGATTTCTAATTTTTACATTTGAAGAAAAGACTTTTTGTGGTATACATCGGATTTCAATTCATCATCAAGATGATTACTGGATTCGTTCTGACGCTGTTGATCTCCGTCAGCGGCATTTACTGTCAAAGTGAGTACACCGTTTTACTATTTTTATTTATGATATTATGATTTGATATATGTCAATGCGCGAATTAATTTTCATATTTGCATCTCTGTCTCTTTATCGTGTTCATTATAATGAGTAACGTACTATTTATTATTTAAATTTGATGATAATTATTCTACAAGATGAACATATGAATAATTGATGTTTACATAGATTATTTCTGTAATTATTCTATGATTATTATTATTATTATTATTATTATTATTAATGATTGATTTCATGTTTAATGACAACGGACAGGAAAAACATTCCTCATAGGGTCGTTCCTCCGAGAAACGGAAAACGAAAATGCAGAGCGATGACGTTAAGCGATATGTTCCGTAGAAACGGTATCGGAAGTACGGAGTAGCAGCATTATACTTAACCACGCGATGCTTGGAATTATAACATAGCTTGTAACGATGAATTCTCATAGGCGATTCGGATTGCTGAACTCTCTGTATATCCCTCTTTTACGCTCTCGATTTCTTTATATTTTCTAATATATTTTTCTCTCTTTCTCTCACTTTTTCTCTCTCTCTTTCTATATATACTCAGGGTCTCCTATAATTAGTAGTACAAACGAGCAGGGGGTGATAAAAAATATAACAATAAGTTGAAAATGTAGATTAAAATTTGTTAATATAAGTTTTTTTATTTTCCAGAAAAAAATGTTGAAAAATTTGTTGAGTACGCATGCACTCGATTCAGTTTCAGCTTGATAGATTTCTTTATCTTACTTTCGAATATTTCAAAAACCATTTTTGTGCTTCTTAATATCTTTAAGAACATTGTCGGTATAATGATATTTCTTATATCGTTTTTATACTCTTATGCTTATCGAACAAGGCTTTTAGTTTCCAGAGTTGCAAGCTCAGTCAAGTGTACATGTACTCGACAAATTTTAAATCATAATTTTTCTCTAGAATTTTATTTTACATTTGTGACTAATTGTAAGTTTCCTCCTATTCATTTGTCTTAACAGTTAGAAAACACTCTGTTTGTATGTGTATTCGTATTTTAAAAATTATTAATAACATCCATTGACGTAAGAAGATATTCTAAAGTTTGAAAACAGATGCTTCCACTTTTCTGTTTTATAATATCCAAGCTCCATGATAAAACACCGTTTATTTGCGTTTTTAGGATACCTTCTTAACCATCGATCAAACGAACATTTTATTTATAGAACACACGATATCCAACCTCACGATTCTTCCATGATTCATATTCCATATTTTATACTTCTAAACTATTCACAGATAATATTAATACCTTTATATTCTTTTTTATCATGATGCATCATTGATCTCGCAGTAAATGCAGATAAGATAAAAATGAATTCCAAAGAATTCATTCATTTCCTTATCACACAAAGGTGAACAATTTAAATAAAATTCTTCAAGCTTCTAGAATGTACACGCATGCTCGCATGCATATACGTTGTTCCATGAAAATTCGGGATTAGGGAAAAGGATGAATAGAAACGTGAACGAACGTGATCGGGTTTAAATTTCGATCAGAAAGAAAATCGGTTTGATTTTTCTTTTTGTATTCATAGGACTAGCTTTTTCTTTTTGTTTGATACATTTTTACATAGAAAAAGAAACACAAAAAAGAAACACAAAAAAGAAAGGTGAGTTAGCTACCTGACTAAATTCGGTAGGAAACTTGTGTGAGCATGTTTTTCGTATCTTTCGTATTTACAAAAGTTTAGATCGAATTGTAGATAGATGATACTCGAGTTTTAAATGGAGATCGTTTTTAAAGGATTGCTCACGTTTTTCGGTATTTTTGATATTAAGTTTTTGGTAGACCAGTAATAGATGCGGTTCAGGTTCATGCAGGTTTATATTCGGGTTTCCCAAAAAAAAGGAAGAAAAGAATAAGAAAGGAAATAAAGTTTCTTCGCAGTTTCTATTCCTTTGATAGTATTTGCATTGTTATGAGTATACAATAGCTAGGAAAGCATTTACAAACCAATACTCGCTACATCCGTGTAATTGTTCAGGATGGGCCCTTTCACGGATCCTTTTTTTTGTTGAATATATTGAGAATGAATCAATCCTGAAGGATTTTCTTTCGTATTTTTTTCTTTCTCCCTCTTTAAATAGAATTCTTATTTCCGTTCTTCACGCATTATGTGTGCATACACATAAATAGAATTTTTCTTTCAAATTGTGTCGTTTATACAAATTACAGTTTCGTTGAAAAGAAATCGAACAGGATTAACAAATACTTAACAATAAGTAAGACGATAAATATCTGGATGAGATGAATAATTGTCAACCTAACACACAAATAATATTTTTATTCGTTAAGTCAAACTGATTTATAAATTGAGTTCAATATGTGAGAAAAGATACTTACAAGATTTCTAATCCAAATAAAAGAAAGAAAAGTATTGACTTTCCCGTAAAAAAGTTCATGTTAATTTTTATATTGAATACAAAATGAATAAGTTTATTTCGTTTATTGTTAAGATTTCAAACTTATCAATCTACCCATTTACATATATCTTAAAGTATACATTATACTCTTAAAAAAGAGGGGTGGGTAAGGGAAACTATATAAGCGAGACCACCCGCGCACGATATCTTCCTACAAATTTTCAAGGACTTTTTGGAGAACTCGCAATAGCATATCGTCTTTTACAAAGAAGGGTACTTATAATAAGGGAGGGTGATCTTTAAGAAGGATCACAATTCGCCCGCCCACGGTGTTCTCCGATCTTAGACAACCCACCTTTACATTTATACACATTCACATTTATACAGACATCCACACACACATACATATGTAAATTCCTCGTTTATAATTACTATCTTCGATTCTTTACCGAACGATAATCGATGATACGTGATCACTTTTCATAAACTATTATATATTATATACAAAGAGTATAACCTTATTGAATGAAAAGAAAAAAAATAGATGATGATGAAGAAGAAAAAAATGTCTAGCAACTTCCGATATGGTATGAGTAATACTTCGAACAATTTTTTTTCTCGATGTATGTTATACGTAGGTGGAGTAGAGCGGAACGTTTAGTATGGATAAATGTATCGCGATCACGTTCGACTCGAGTCGAGTGAAGGAACAACCAAGTGATTTTAAAATATCGACTCATGGCACATCTGCCTTTTCGTAGACCCTTTTAATTGATCCAAAATTGATTAAAATTCTTCACTACCCGTTTCAAATTTGTTATTTGATTTCTCAAAAAGTTCAAATATTCAATGATCCCTAAATTGAATTTCGAATATTTTAAATATAAATAGCAAATATTATTAAAATGTTCCAAAAGTTTTCAGTAACAGTCAAAAATTTGTAACATGCATATATTTTATTTCTATAATTTATAAATTGAGGTCAATATTTTATAAAAAAAATGTCCTACAATAAAATGATTGAACTCGTAGCGTGTTTAAATAATTTTGGACTATTTTGAGGGTCCTAACTACCTGTTGTACTTGGACCAATTATCGTTCGTCGTGTGTAGTCTTTTTTTTTAAATAAAATAAATGATCATATTACTGTTTTAGATTTGAATATAAATTCTAATAGTAATATGGTTTGCTTTGTTTCCGTCTGTCTGGTTCTTGCTTCTCCAAGAGAACTTTTTGGTTGCTAAGAACGTCGTCCCTCTTTTTCTTATTCTCTTTATGTTTTTCTTCTCTCTCTCTCTCTCTCTCTCTCTTATTTTTGTCGTTATTCTCTCGTGGCTGTCACCAAGGCGATGATGTATGATTCTCATGGCGCGAGAACGGCCGTCGTCATCGGTGAAACCGGCTAAGTAAGAAGCCTTCTCCTTCCTTCCTTTCTTCCTTATTTCTTTATTTTGTCTTCTAAATACGACGAGTTTAGGATTAATGTTTCACGTAAGATATTGTGTCTGTTAGAAACGATGGACATAAGAGACAGATGTCATACTCGGTTAACTTTGATCGAGCAATATAGAAAGCTTGTATGCAGTTTCTGTGTTATACCAGTCTCGTTAGTTCAATTAATACGATTTCTCTTCACTCATGTTGGATGCATTGAGGAGAATGTATTTACTTACATAAATAGATTAGAAAAGACGAGACCTAATGTGTAGTATGTTTTCTGGATGTGTTCCAAAGATTCTCTTTAGTATCTTCAAAAGAACACAGAAATAAAGTTTGACCATTGGACGAATTATAAGAACGTTTCTTTTTAAGGTTCCTTTTAATTTCTTTTCATTCTTCTTTTATATTTCGTACAGTCAGCCTCTAATGGTCTTTCAGAAGCTTTCTTTTTGTAGTTAGACCCTCGCGCCCAAACGAAAAGAGGTGTAAATTGCTTCCTACCTATCAACCTTTCGTATGGTTTCTTGCTCGAACTTCAATTGGAAGATAATCAAATTGCTCTGCGCCGCCTTTGAACATTTTTTTTCTTTGATTCATTTAAAGAGAATACTTTTGTCTTAACAAAAACAGAAAATTGTACAATTTTTTTCTTCTTTAAATTAGATTTTTCTTCTCGAAAGTGTAACGAAACTGTGCGTTATCATGGTTTAGGATTTTTATTTAAAAATAATTCGCGTGAATTATCCGTTTGTTAAAGATTAGAGTTTTTTTTGCTTTAGAAAGTTAACGATTACGTTATGAAGTTGGTGGTGGTACAAGAAGATACATTCACATCTTCTGCTAAGTAGCAATTCGACTCACGAAGTTCTTCTTCTTTAGTGTTCCGACACTACTTTAAGTCTTAGTTTTGCATGCTTAGTAGCAAGCAGGTATTAACAATTCTATCTGATCGTAATATTAGTCATGCTTGAGGATCGTGTTCCAAGAAGCAAGAAAACCAATCCTATACATCTCGACGACACATACTTAGTATAATATATATATGTATATGCAAGTATGTATTTACTTACTTACGTGTTTCATACTTGAATGTTCTATTAATAAACTTAATGTTATTTCACGATTTCAAGAAAATCGATCTTAAGAATTCCA